TACATTTGGCTACTAGCCAGAAACTGTAACCTTCTGCCTAATTTTAACTAATTTGTATGTTTTGGTATTTACAGGCTTTTATGATCAATTACTATCTATATTTGGCCATTTTAAAATGTGTTTTGGTAGCTTTAGCATTAGCCTTGAGTTTCCTTTTAGTTGATTTTGCTTTGAGCTCTTCGTGTCAGATGATGTTTATTTTTCTGTGAACTCAGGACTCTGACCTAAAGAAGACTTTTGACTTACAAGTCAACAGGGGGCGTCTGGGCCTCGTGTTTATTTTTGGTTAGAATGACATGCAGGGAGACCTGAGGACGATGTCGGAAGATGGTGGGAACTTGGTGTTGCTTCTTTCCCCAGCGTATTTACAGTAATGTTTGGTGTAATATAAACGTGTCTTTAACCATAGAAAAAAGACAGTAACTGACAACAAGAACCATTGGTTTCCTGGTATGAAAACATCCTGGTTCATGGCAGTAGCAAAGCTGCGTAAATGTCAGTACCTACAGTACATCTTTTTTTTTTTAAATCTCTGGCCATCCCTTTAAAGGATAAGACTTCCTCACTTCTCTGCTGTCAGCCTTTGGTGGAGTTTTTCCTCATCATCTGGACAGTCTGTTGGCCTCCAGCTGTCTGCGACAGACAGACAATAACAGATCCTCCCTCCTCCAGATTGTCTGACCTAAAGCTAAAAATGTAAACAAAAACGCTGGTTTTGTAACAAATGGAGAGCGTTTTGAATCTCATCGGTTTGAAAGAGACAAATGTATTGTTTTTTCTTCTTCCATAAACATTTTAGTCTTTTTGTTGGTGAAAAATAAATGTAAAGACTTGACTTTTGGCCTCTTTAATAACATTGTTATTTTACTAGTATTCTGTCCAACTATTGGTGTTTTTTTTAAACTTATGGTTCATTTGAATTTCCATATGTGTCCAACTATTGGCATTTTGTGTTTTTTTTAACTTATGGTTCATTTGAATTTCCATATGGTTCAATTTTATGCAGATGACACTGCTGTATTTGTTGCTTCTACCCTGAAGTTGTTGATGTTGTTTTTTTATAGTCCACGCTCGGTTCTCTGTCGACTCGGCAACTTCTTTTTTAATTTAGATTTTTAATGATCCATTTTATGTTGCGACTTGGCAACGTTTAAATGACGATCACCTCAACCATTGGCCTTCCCTCTGCTGAGGACTGAGATGAACAAAAATGAAGAAGAATATTTCTGTACCCGCTGCATTTCATGTACCAACTGCCCATTAGAACCATCACATTGTATTCAAATTCAGAGTTAGTTGTAAGATATGATCCGTCCCTCTTCTCACATTCAAGGTGCAACAGTGTAAAGTGCTTCATATTGTAAATTGTTGACTGTAAAATAAGTGTTTGTTCTTTAGTTTGGGGGAGGGTGTGGCAACCAGCTGCCTTCACCTTTGTTTAGAACCACAGAGGGGGTTCTGTGAGAAACCAGTGTGTGCGTGCGTGTGTGTGTTGAGAGTGTGTGTCTGTGTGTAGGAGTTGGGGGCGGTGCCTGCAGCCACACCCCGGCTGATTGGCTCCACCTCACTGTGGAATCCACAAAAACAACATCAGACAGTCACTCTGAAAAGAAAACAAAACCAAATGCTTCAAATCAAATCTTTTTACCCACACGGAAAACAAAACCAAACGCTTCAAATCAAATCTTTTTACCCACACCTTGGTTCAGTTCAGTGTTTCTTAAATATTTGAGGTGAAAAGTATATTATTTTAACCTAAAATTGTTTGGTCATAAAAAACAAATATGAGCTAATCTTTGGTTTATTTGCAGGTAAACTTTCTTAAAAGTTGTGACTTCCTCTAGGATATGACAGTGAAGGTTTCTTTTTGTAAATCATCGGGTAATTCACAGCTAACTTAGCTATAATCAAGCTAATTGACCATGATCACTGAGGGAATTTACGAATTAGCTTCGTACATGATTTAAGCTAGCTATGCCTGGGCTACTTGTAGCCACATTTCAGACTTTTGCCCTTAAGCTAACCTTTGGCTAGTTTCACCATTTTTGCTTTTCTCACTATTTCTAAACTATTTAAAATGTTTCAAATAGTCTTCAATACTTTAACTTAACTCAAATCAATACTAGAGTATCTTCAGGGCTAACATTTTTCAGGAAGAATATATTATTTTATGATCTTCTAGAAGTACTTACTTATTTATATGGTATTAGCATTAGCATTACCTTTGTTTGGCGTTAGTTTTAACTACTCCAAGGCTAATATCTGTCTAATGTCAAGCAATCGTATAGAGAACGTTTTTTTTTTTATGAATCATGTGGGTCATTAACAAGTGACTTCTTTTGACTGATGTTTTGACTGAAGCGTGTTAAGAAGTGGTAGACACAACAGCATTTGTTACTGCATTGTTAGTATAATTCACTTTAAAAGGCAAGTAAGCAGAGGTGTATTGTTTACCTTCTGTATGTGCGTCAACATTATGTACACACCCATCGTTTTCACAGACTTCATTCAATACCAGCCTCAGCTTTAAAAGAGCAGCAGTTCGCTACACGATATTAACATACTGTACATGATGAAAGAGCGTTGATTCTCCCACACACAACTAAAATTAAACTCCAGGTCATGACGCCATACTACCAGATCTAGTAGTATGTGAGTATTCTTCTATCAACACGTATGAAGCAGTTAAAAATAACCTGATCTGGCCCTTTATTGCGACACCTTTGTTTTCGCGAGAAGCGTTTCCTACGATATGGAATTGACATTGTGTGAAAACACGTCTGACAATGATTCCAGGTTAAGTAAAAAAATGCAAATTTAAATGTTTTTTTTTTTCAGATTTTGACCATGACCAGGTTGATACCAGAAACAGCTGACCTCAGCGCAGTATTAAAAACAAATAGAGAACAGAGCTGGACGGGACGTTGCGTTTTTTACAACTTCCACTTTAGTAAATCAGCAGAGTTGAAAACCTGGGCTCCGTATCAAAGAGTGAATCACAGAGAGAGTAGAGGAAAGGAAAACAATCAAATGTTGGTGACAGAAATAAATCAATTTAGTTTTTCTTGGCTTTAAATCAGCTCTCTCTAACACGAGCGAGTGACATGATGGCGTTATAAAAAAAATAAAAACACAGTGACTCCGTGTGTTTATCAACTACAGGGATACATCATTAATATTTACTGTTGAAGTATCTGAACCTCTGACACCAGAGTCCATGGAGAAAGCTTGGGTTTTAAGCTCAGTGTGACACAGGAGCTGCTGCTACGCTATACTGTTGCTACATTAGCCGTGTTTGTCACTGAGGTGAAGCCAACAAAGTCACATAATTACAGCTTTGAACCAAGGCCTGGACACAGCAGTAGATAAACTTCTCTGGGCTTTGAGGTCAAATCTCCAATTTTCAGAATGGACTCTGGTTGAAGACCTCTGTTGTCTGTGCACATCTGTGCAGTGGGTGAAAATTCATGTTCTTTAATATTTCATTTTGCTTTGATAAGATGCTTTTACTTAGTTTTCACAGATTTTTAATTTCAATTCTTTTAATTAATTTTAATTAATTTCTTTTAGTGTAAAACTAATGCAAAAGTGAATTATAATTTATTTTATTTA